CGGGTACCCATTCCCACCTGGGTGAAGTGAGGAAAATTCGTGTAAAGTGCCTTTCCCAAGGACACAACGTCGGGCCCTTGACGGGATTCGAACCCACGACCTTACGGTTGCGAGTCCGAGAGCCTAACCACTAGGCCACCGACGCCACAAGTACAAGTATAAGTACAAGTATTGCTATTGTGTAGTATAACAATTCCATGTCGTGTGTTTGCAAGCAGCACACAGCGCTCCGCGGAAGCTCAGGAACCGTTCTGAGTTTGACCTCAAACACAAACAGCGAAGGTATTGTCAACAGTACATGATCGATAAAGCATGTTATGCATAAAACATTGTCGGCTATAGGTACTTTGAAAGGCGTAGAAGTGGCATGCGGTGGTATTTAATAACGATAGTAATCACGACTGGAAAATGAGCCAATATCCAACATCGCCCTCAAATACCCCCCCCCCCTCTCCCCAATGAGCCAAATCAAGAAGGGTGAAATCACAAAACTCCAAGTGTTTCGACTGACACCATTTATGAACCGCTGCAAGTGTGGCCTAGGAATGAAACCAGCAAGGCACTACCTTTGATAGTTTAAGATTCGGTAAACTCAAAAGGCACAGAAAAAAGAAACGGGGAGAGTATATGGAAACATTAACAAAAATCAATATAAATTATATGCCACCCCACCCGCCAATCTCAACTCAAGAAAAAAAATAGTGAAGAGAAGAAGAAAGAGGAATGGGAAAATACCACATAAGCCCTGTTAAAGTGTAATAAAATAAAATAAAATAAAATAAAATAAAATAAAATAAAATATAGATTCTAGTCTAGAAAAGTAAAACAAAATTTAAAAAAAACAACAACAATGATTTTATAATGGTAATGCAATTTATAAAATGATACCAAAAGTCTTTTTAAAAAAGCATTAGAATCTACATGGGAAAAGTTCTAACGCAAGGGTATATAGTTTTTTTATAATTTAGTTTACCGCAGCATTATTTTGTGACTGCAAGACCCATATAAAAGTAACGGTTTTCAAGCAAAATGTAATTACATGTTATCATATAATTCATTGCTATCACTATCCCCATCCCCATCCCCAGCACACACACACA